GTAGAACTACCTAAGTATCTATAAATACCCCTATTATAGGGGTATATTATATATAAAACTATTTACTATAAAACTCGAAATCAAACCTTTATAAGAAGGTTATAATTATTTATAATCTAGATATTACTAATAAGGAGTATCTAGTATAAGAAGGCTACTAGTTATATAGCTTACTATAGAGGATTATATTTAGGGTAGATTATATTAGTAGTAATTATAGTAGGAGGTTCTAAGTTTAAGGGTATAGTTTTTTTAATAATATATTATTAGAGGGAAATTATTTAAATACTCTATTACTAGCCTAATAAAATCGTAAGGTTAAATAAGATTTATTAATAGAGAATATAGTAACCTATAGATTCTCAAAGGTTTTTATAAAGGGTCTTAATAAAGAGGGGCCTTTAATACTAATATCTATACTACGTTATTTATACTGAAGATTTTTATATTATAGTATAATAGATATTAAAAAGGTAATAGAGTACTCTTATTATAAGGGTCGAATATATTAAATTATAAGTTAGAATTAGTATCAATCCTTAATCTATATATAATAGCTAATTTAATAGAATAGACGTCGCTTATTAGTTAAATCTAGTATAGATCCTTCATTTATATATAATAGCTAATTTAATAGAATAAGCGTAGTTCTATAGTATCTAGTAGGATATAGTATTACTAACCTCTTTCTAAATATATAGAATTATTATAAGATCCTGTTATAGATAACTAAGAGCTAATATTATAACCGACTTTATAAATATAATTAGTAATAGAAACTCTAAAGTAGATAATATAAATGTTTTAAACTTCTTTAAGAGATATTTATAGTATTAATATCTACTTAACCTATAAGTATAGCTTCTTTTACTTAAAATCTAGGCTTTCTAATAGAAGGATCAAGTTGTTTTTAATAATAAGCAAATCTTTAATAGTAATAATAGTAATAAATTCTATTAATATAAATATCTGAAAGGAATTAAAAAGAAACTAGAAGCTAAGCTTATCTAAAATAAACCTTAGCTATTTATATAGAATAATAGTTATTATATAATAAGTTTATTTCTATTTACTTATTACTCTTAGATAATAACTATAATAAGTCTTTTATAAGATATAAGAATAGCTATACTATAACTAATATTACTATTAAGTATAGTTAAATAAGGCTAATAGTCTAATATTTAGCACTTTTAAAAGTGCCTAATCGACTATTTATCTAGTCTCTATCTTTCTAAGCTATAATAAACAAGTAGTAATTAAAAGTAGTAGTTATAGAGGCTAGAGAGAAGATAAATAAGAGCATAGATAAGATAGAAACTTTTATTAATATCTTATTATTACTAGGTATTAAGTTTTAGTATCTAAGTTACCTTTCTCTTTTTAAGGTAAAAGTAGATATAGGATTTAATAATAATACTTATTTTAATAGTAAGATATAGCTATTTACTTTAATATTTAGATAAAGCTTTTTACTATTAGATTAAGTAACTCTATATATATATTCGAATTTTTACTACTTAGCCTTAATACTATACTTTACTCTTCTAAAAACTTACTAGGTTTTTATAACTACTACTTCTTATCCTAGTAGCCTTTAATATATTATAAAGGATAGAGGAGGTATTTAGCTTATAGCTAGATATAGAGGTAGTTCTTTATATAGGTGTTTATTAAAGGATATATAAAAGTAGAGGTAGTTCTTTATGTATAGATTTATTAAAGAAGGTATAAGAGTAGTAGAAGTTCTTTATACATATATTTCTTTATATTATATATAAAAGTAGAGGGAGTTCGTTATTAGACAAGGATTCTTTATAGTAAATATAGACAAGGGGGAAACTTTAGAGGGTACTTGTAAAGATTATTAGAGGGACTTCTTAGTATTAAGAAGATTAGAGTATAGTAGGATTTCTTTGTTTAGAAGAATATCTTGGGAGATATCTTTTGTTATTTATATAATTAGGTTAGAGTTAGGTAGGATAAGCTGTTTAGACCTCGCTTATTATGTAGCTAGATAGTTATATATACTACAGGGGATTAGTAGGAGAATTAAGTAGATTTTATATTATAATATTTGTAAGTATATATCTCTATTAGAACTACATCTTTAGTATAATATTTAAGGTTTTACGTCTACCGTTAGTATACGAAAATATACGCGCTAGGGATAGTTTTATACCCTAGGACGGCCCGCGGCGGGTGTTAGATATTTTCGTATATATCTAGCCTCGATTTCCCAGAGGGAGGTAATACTAACCACTTTTAGTAGTTAGCCCTAGAATCTAGAAAAAGCTAATTTTAGTTAGAAACCCATTAATTCTAGTTGGTCGAATAGCGTATTACTAATTACTAAAGATCGCACCGCCACTATAAAGGCTTGAATAATATTTCAAGGCCAACTAGTAGTAGAGAAAAGGTGAGAAAAGTGGGAAATGTAGTAAGGAGGTACATTAATCGATATAGAACTTACAAAGTTCACCTATAGGTTGTGCAAATTTGAAATTACAAGTTTACAATGTTGCAAGGGTGCGTGGGAGTGATTAGAATAAATAGTGTTCTCGCTTCGTCTCATCTACAGAAGGTGCTATTGGTCAAGTAGTTAAGCTACGTACTCGGACCACCACCTTTACAACCAGAAAACTGCAGAAGCATTTAGAGAACAGCGACAACTATGCCTTGGAGCAAGATTGTTAACTAAGGGGGGATAACTTTTGGACGATTTTAACACCAATGCGCCAAGGCCCACGCGACAAGTATACCTCCGAACACAGTCGCGAAAACATGAAGAAGCCCTAGAATGCCTTATCGTGTAACAGTATGCGTTTTTACTGCTTTATGTCTTCTGTACAGTACTTGGTGGTTGTGTATTGCATGATGTATCTTGATCAGAGATGCAAAAGTTTTAGAAGGCTGATCTGGAAGGGCCCTCAATCACGGTCCTTCTAGACTGAAGTACATATAGAGTTTAAGCGACAAGATATCACGCATACTTTATAGTAGCAAACCAGGATACGTAATCCACGTGCGCAGTAACGTGACGTGCTTGACGGAACCCTTTGGCTTCCACAGGGCTGATATTGGGTTTGGAATGTCTGAAGTCCATCCGATGAGTTTTCCGGAGGTTCGGTCGCCATTTAAGGAGGTCTCATACCTCCGTACTCCATATTGGAAAGAAAATATTTGCGCATCCACCTTGGCTACATGTGATAATGAATTCCCATGACTTCATGTTCTTGTTGACATAGTATATCAGATGACAAGGTTTCAATTAAACCCTTCTTCTACTCCACTACTCGTGTTTCGCCTGGGACGAACTTCGTAGAATTGCTGAGCCCACAAAATAAGGGTGATTACAGAAGTGCATGAGCGCGTTGGACGCTAGGCTAGGCACCAGCGTTTTTTCGGTGGGTTTGAGTAGGCTAAGTTTACGAAAAATAAATTTGTCTTCACTGCAAGTAACATAGCTGTTGCGATACTACATCTTTTTTTTTAATATTTGGCGATGTTTGTTGTTCTAATGGCGATGGTACGGAGCTTCTCACTCAAAAGAGTAAGGAGCTGGCTGTTTTCGGTTATTTCTTACCTCCTAGGGTGTTCCATGCTTGCTTGAAACCCTATATCTCTGTATGTTATACTTCGGTATGTGGGTTTCTTTGGGTCTCTGTGGGTCTTGATCTGAGTCTGGAGATTAGAAAGAAAAAAGAGGATGATTACAAGCTTCGAGGCAAGGTTTCGTATGAGGGCCGTAGGTTCGGCGCGTGCCACATTAATACTAAGACTTGTAGAAAACACCTACTGTAAGCCCAAGCTAGAATGCTAAGATAAAAATGAGTAAAATCCTTATAAAACCCAAACGCCAGATCTAGTCTAATACCATAAGAGTAATTCTACTTATTGGCATATCACATGTAGTAAGAGAAGTTGTAAGGTCCGAATTAAACTAAGTTTTCAATTATAGACAAATATATCAAAGGGGGAGAGAATTATAATTTTTTTTATAGAAAATTAGGCAAAGCGATCTTTTTTGGTACTGTTTTACGGCCCGGAGGTACGCCGGCTCTTACGTACTGTAAGACTTACAAGCGACAGCGCAGAGGAAAGACGTACTGACTATTAGTTACCAAACCTCGCCAGGTACCGAGTATACGATGTCGATCTGCATGGTAATAACATTGACTGGGGAATTGTTACTCGTGGAGGAAATTAAGGTTCGCTGTCATCTGTTCTTAGCCTGTTACAACCTACAAGAAGTCAAGGGTCTTGGCAACCAGATGCTTGGATCCCCTCTCTTCCCCTCTCGATTAATACGACTTTAATGGCCTCTTGGCTAAACCGCCGCTTTTTTAATTAAAGTAGGTACAAGACGGGTAGAGCTTAAATTTCTGTCCTGCCAGATTACAATTAACCTTAAAGGATAGATAATACAACTCAAGAACCACGGATTAGAGAGGCTATTTAATAGACAGCCTACGTAATACTATAGTTATTGTACTAGAAAGTCGTATCAAGGCCCCTATATTATACTCCCCTGTATGCCCCTTTGTCCGTAGGAACATAGAAAGCTTACTAATTAGCTATACTTTTACGTTTGTTTTCTTTAGTACGTAGAGTACTAGTACTTCCAGAGATCTGAATAGCTTGAAGCTCTACCGTCGTAGGAGGTCCTTAGATAAAGCGGCACTAAAGTGCAGGCCTGCGAGACATACCTTTTCGCGACTTCGCCCGCCGCGGCCAGGGGCAAAACAGGGTGTAGAAGTGAGTTGACAGGGCTAAAGGCCATTGAAGTCTTGACGCCCCTCTCAGCACCGAAATCAACACGGAGAAATTTATGAAACTGGCGGAACTGAGCGTATGTAATTCATATAAAAGTGATGCCTTCCCCTGCCTTTTGCTATTTGAGGATTGTGATATCGCGTGCTGATTCATTACACTCCTGATTTCACAAGAATTCCGCGGGTGAGTGCAGAAGAACAGACGTACCTGGCGTACCAAGCAAAATGAAGTTCTTGATATCCCTCGTGGGAGCATGTGCTCTCCAGACACTCGTTTCGGCAATTCCTGCTTTCCCAGGTGCTGAAGGATTTGGTGCGAATGCAGTCGGTGGTCGAGAGGGCGGCACTGTTCACGTAGTGACAAATCTCGAAGATAAAGGGGCTGGCTCGCTTCGCGACGCAGTGTCAGGCAAGAATCGAATTGTTATATTTGCGGTGGGCGGTTGTAAGTAACACTATATCTCTCAGAAGACTTGAGCTCACAATATTTATAGTAATCAGCATCAAAGAGCGTATCGTTGTATCGGAGCGCGTGACGATTCTCGGTCAAACTGCTCCGGGAGACGGGATTTCTGTCTATGGAAATGGATGGTCTTTCTCAAATGCAGACAATACTATTATTAGATATGTTCGTATTCGAATGGGTAAGGTTGGGACTGGAAAGAAAGATTGTGTTGGAATAGCAGAGGGCGATAACATGATATTTGATCATTTGAGTGTTACGGTAAGCGTTCTGTGACAGTGTCGGAAAGTTGGCTAATTGGTTGACTTTGGTGGGGACGAGACGAGACTTTCTCCATCAATGGCCCAGTAAATAACATCACTATACAAAACAGCATCATCGGTCAGGGACTTGAAACCCACTCCGCAGGAGGACTGATGCAGTCCGACGGAGGAATTTCACTATTCCGCAACCTTTACATTGACAACAAAACCAGGAATCCCAAAGTCAAAGGTAATGATCCCTGGAGCTTCCAGAAGTATGCCATATTAACATATTTTTAGGTACCAATGATTTCACAAACAATGTAGTATACAATTGTAAGTTAAGCCCTGCTCAGTTTAACTACCTCGAACTAATAAGTTAGGGGGTGGCGGTGGCGGTTATATTTCTGGTGGGGACTCATCAGGCTCGTCAAACGTCAATATCATAGGGAACTTCTTCATCTCTGGCCCAAGTACTTCTGCGACAGCTTTCACTCGTGGAAATGCGGATTTCAAAGGATTTGTGGATGGAAACTTATTCGACAGCGATAAGGACGGAACTCTAAACGGGGTCCTTCTCAGTGCAGAGTCTGCCAATTTTGGTGGAATGTCGATAGCGCCTACCAGGTTCGATTACCCAGCACCTGCAAAGATTCTTACTGCGCAGGAAGCACTCGATTTGGCATTGAAGTCAGTGGGTACAAGTTTGGCTAGGGACAGCGTCGATAAACAGTTGATCGATGAGGTGAAGAGTTTCGGAAAGGTCGGGGAACTGATCTCGGACGGTGAGGCGTACATCTTCTAATCATGATCATTTATACTAAATTTCGTTTAGAAAATGCAAGCCCAATGAGTGGCCCAGGAACAATTGCCCCGGGGACAGTGGCGGTTGATACCGATGGTGATGGTATCCCGGATGCTGAGGAGACCAAGTTGGGCACAGATCCTAACGTTGCCGATTCCATGACGATTGCGGCAAATGGGTAAGTTATCTCTCTATTCTTATATTAATCGAACGTCTTGCTAACTGACTATATAGGTACACCAATTTGGAGAACTGGGCGAACTCGCTGGTACCTGAAAGTTAGTAGAGCAGACATAACACTGTACATAGTCAATAATGCTGATGTGTGGCATTTTTAATTTCATACACTTCATCCCATTTCGTCTGCTTTTTTGAAACGATTTGCTGGAGATGCACAAATTGAAGGCGCTTGTTGTTGAGCCCAACTAGCCTGCGAGGTCAAATCGAAGCAGCATTCTAGAAAAGAGGATGTGATGTTGTCGTGCTTTGGGCAAGGCGTAACCAAGAAAGGAAGGAAGTCACACTCAATTTCACATAAAATTGTGGGAATCCTTCCTTGGCCAATAGCGCTAGCATAATTCCGGGTAATTGTAAAATCTGTGATGTACGATCCTGACGCTGATCTGGACACTGCTTATGATTCTTGGGAATATTTCCCCCCCCCCCCGGTTAAAAAGATCTAACTACAGTAAGAATGACCAAACTGTTACCAGTCATATAAATCGCTAACTTGATATACATCAACAAGATCTTGGTACTATGAATGTTATTAGGCTATGTATTCCCAGCATGGTTACATAGACGATGTCATGTGGTATACCCTTGGATGGTTTAGATCTCTTGATGTCTTCTTTTCCAGGGTTTGGCAGGGGTTGTAAGATGGTGGCGGTTAGATAAACCGGGTAAAGAGATATCTTAGCAAGCTTGAACGCTTGAAGAACCTGGTTATGAGTAAAACCTCGGAGCACTCCCCTATTCATGGTAGATTATATTTAGCCTCAATGTTGTTACTTGGATTATATGACTTCAATGGCCTTTAGCCATGTACACTCACACCCAAACCCTGTTTTGAACCTAGCGCGGGCAGAGACCTAAAAGAGCATGCCTCGTAGGCCTGCACTCTCTCCGTACTCAGAGAGGTGTTGTGTAAGGCGCGTAAGGGCCGCTGACGAGCCATGATTTAGTGGGTCAGAGGCTACAGGACACAAAGCAAATATCATAGGGAGAGTAGGACTGAAACCATTCAAAGCTCTAAGAATACTTAGTAATCCTAAGGGAATAGTTCTTAAGCTAACTATGTCTCCCCTTAGACGAGATGGCAGGTAGTTTTCCTACTAGATGCCTCTTATATATTCTTATCATAAAACATACCCTCTGATAGTTAATTCCTACGTTCCTGCTACTATTTTTACCAGGCAAGGTCGACGTCATACATAGTCTAGTAGAGCAGATAGTTTGTCCTACTATCTACTCTACTCTAAAAAGCAGCAGCTTACGCCAAGAAGTCATAAAGTTGCGGAATGATCGACCAGGGACCACGAAGGTCGTACTTCGTATAATCGTCAACTTGTCACATTCCCATTTTCGTTCAGAAGGGGTTACTATAGTGGATCCGGGAGGGGACCGATATCTGAAACGACATGATCCACATTGCGTGCACATGCTTGTATTGTTCGGACGATTTCGCTAAAGTTAATCATGCAAAACAAGACTTGCGACGAAGTCTAACCTGTTTCGAGCTAACCCTGCGCTTTGTGCGCTCCAATCAGCAGTCGAAGTGTAAAAAATTCCGGAAAACAATTCCGCCGTTTCGTGTTGTTGTTGTTGTTGTTGTTGTTGTTGTTATTGTTACAAGAGCTCAGGTTCTAAAGAAGAATTTTGTTTTCGTATCATAACATATATACATGAAGAAGAGCCGCATGAAAACATGACCACGACATATCCGCACTCTTACTCCCCAGAATTATCCGAGGCCATCAAGAGAGAAACAAGTTTGTCCAAAGAAGAGAAACTTTTAATGCAGCCTGTGTTAGGCACATTCAAAAGTCCACCAATTCAAGCTGTTGCCTCAACCACTTTTACCTGCCACTTAAGAAACGGTGATGGTCGCTGATCCACTGGAGAAATATCCCTCGGTTGCGACAATCAAGTAGTTAAATTCCGTACCGAGCTTCATTCCAACCTTTGCCCAAGCGTCGAAGTGAGCTTGAGTATTGACCGAACCGCTGGAGCGCTTGCTGGTTCGGACAGACCAATACTGCTGAAAGGTCTTGGTGCCATCAATGGATGGCTGGTTGGTTCGAGTGGTCTGTAGGATATCGTAGCTTGAGCCGTCGACGGTAACGGATCCCTTCTTAGTAGCAGCACTTGCAGGGTTGTAGGAGCCGTAGTTCTCGACGATGTAGTACTCAATAAGAGGGTTTCTGGTCCAACCATAGATTGAAAGGTAGCTGTTTCCGTTTGGACTATAGTTGCCGGAATAGTTGATGACCCTGAGAAAGAGAGACATTTAGCGAACTGCTGTGATGAGATTTATGATGCGGATTTCCTCACCTTCCACTTCCTGGATTCCATCCCTTTCCCCCTACAAAGTTCCCATTGTTGCCAGACCACTTCACAGTGTATGCACCCGCTGCTCCGTTGGTGTATGTAACATCTCCAGCACCATCAGTCCAGAATGAATAGTAAAATCCATTGTTGGTTCCTGTTGAGCTAGGAGTTCCCGCGCGCTCGACTAGGACCTCGGAAGGGGCAGCAGCAACCCCGACGGCAGCAACGACGGCAAGAATGAGGGAGGAAAATGAGACCATGATGACGATTGAATGAGTGATCGTTGGTTAGGATCCAGAGAGTGGGAAGCGCAACGCTTTATATCTTTTCACCGTCATGAAAGCGCAGCCAGTGGGTCTTCGGAAATACCCCCTAATTGTCAAAAAACACCCGTGCTCAGTGGATGTTTTGCGGATAGTTCGCTTTTCAACATATAGATTAAATCAAGGGCACATGCTTTGGATCCTTGCTGGGATAGACAATTTTCCATGCAAAGCACAGGAAAATTGCATGATCTATTTATGCTTCTTGTCGTCACTCAATGAGAAAGTGATGACAAAAGCCCGGCGCGATGGCGAGGCTCGAATTATCCAAATAGTCATCTCGGTAGAATTAAAGTGGTTAAAGATCAATTCTTGGCCAATTGCAAGTCTCATGATAAAGATAATTCCGATGACCATAGAGAAACAATCGAGAAGGTTGGCCAAGGATGCCAAGGTGTGGGGTGCATTGCAGCCGGGAGCCTCTAACGACATCCCCTCTGCGGAGTATCTCCCGCCGTCGATTTTCGTCACTCAAGCATAAGATTAAAGCTTTGGTCCGAACCATTGAGATGGCTACATTCCCATCTGCAAATAATCAAAGGGAATGCGAGTGAAGATTGAGTACGCAAACAGTTTCCTTGCTTGAGGTCAGGCGACAGACATGCGGCATGACCTTTTTCTATCTTTTCTGGGTGAATTTTCAGAGGCCAAAGGCGCAGTAATGGAGGAAATTGACTTTTATCAGTCTTACGTGTCTTGCTGATACTATGATTGTAGGAACAATATTTACGTCGCAATATTCCGACAAAGCAAATTTCTTTTTTTCACGAGATTTCTCGAGGCTCGGCTAAGCTGAAAACCCCCTCTTCCCCCAGAAAGGAAACTATTAAATAGCACGTGAATTCTTCCCGTTTCGCAACTTGCAGCGTTTGACAAATAGTAGTCGATCCTATAGATACTATAGATTCTATGATTTTATTTTAAGTAGAATCTATAGAATATTTCTAGACCTCCTTATAAAATAGAACACTCATTTCTATCGATTAGGCTTAGGATTCTATAGAATTCTCGAATCTTTAGAGGGGTTTCGAACTAATAAAAGAGCAGAATTTGAGAGAAGTCAATGCTAACTAATTGTATATAGCTATTCCTAAATACGCTCTAGCACCGTCACAAAGTTATATTATAATAACTTCGTAAACTTCGAATTAGAGACGGTTAAGACGATCGTATTAGCGTACTATTAGATATAAGATATATAGAGACTCTCGGCGCTAAGCGAAATAAAGGGTTTCTATTAGTCATCGGACCGGGGACACTTTACTCCAGGTTATATGCTTTATTTCATATTATACTAAGGAACTACCCTATAGAATAGTAGATTTAGAGTCTCTTATAAATAGTATAGAATATTCTATGGGAAAGTAGAGGGATCTAGTTTGGAATAGAATTCCAAATACCGAACGCTGTTCGCAAGATATAGCCCGGTCTCAAAATTAATCAGATTCTAGAGTTATCTACGTGTGTTTTGTAGGATGTTTTGTAAGGTATTGGGCATGTAGATTACTTATTTCCACAGATTCTAGGCTCGCGAAACATCTTGCTTTATTACGAAAGGACCGGCTCGGGCCATGCCCTCGCTAAGCACTGACCAAAGTCCTCGTTAAGCACTGACCAAAGTCCCTGCTTAGCACTGGCCATAACCCCACTGCCAAACAGGTTTCTACTTTTCCACACTTTCTTGTTTTGTTCTTCTGACATCATGTATTCGTCATTCAAGTTTCTTGCAAGTTTCTTGGAATATTCAGGAAGCTCTTCCTCTCTATATATAGAGGAAGAGCTCGCATGTATGTAGTCTTCACGCACTTCTTAATTGAATATTCGAAACCACACCTTTGAGCTATTCGAGGTCTGGACTCTCACAGTGGTAGTTAGATAATATAGATAGTAGTAGTAGGATAATATAGATGGAATATTCCTTAGAATGTTAGAATAGTATCAAAGGTATCATATGTTGATAACTAAGCAAAACCCATTAAGGAACTGTTCAATAACCGGTTTACACATAAATCTATAACCAAACTACTATACTAATAGTTTACCCAAAATTTAATAACCAAACCACTAATAAGCTATTGGTTATGGTAACCACCAGGTATTAACCATCCATTGGCAACACTGTCCTGAATACCTCATATAATCAAAACAATTATACGAATAGTTTAAAATAATTAACACTTTTCAATCCTGATTAACCTAGGTGAAATAGGACAATTAATTTACTTATACTAGACGTTTGGTATAGAGATTTGGATAGCGTGTACAGAGCAATGCTCGCCTCTCTTAAAATGCATACAGTAAGTCGTGCTTATGTAGAATACAGTACTATAAGGGGGTAACGAAGCGAACATGAGTTTTGCTACGCCATGTAAGCCTTGGAATCAATGGAGACAGTATCATGCAAGCTCACTGGTGTCAGCGTTCTAAACAAATTTCGTAACCAGAAAGATTCTTCTTCTTGATGTTACTCTCTTGAAGTTTGAAAGATAAGGTCCAATGGTAGAATGGCTACTCGGAAAGGACAGCTTGTTGGAATTAGTAATATGGTCGCTTAGCTAAACAAGCTAGATAGCTGAATATGCTTATAGTTCAGATTATTATGCATACTTGTTTAATTAGTTGCGTAACGCAATTCTTTAGTTAACTGCGTATGTATGGTATACTAGCTATTATTAGTATTTATTAGTCTTATTATAATAGATCGTACACATGGCATTAGGGCCTTATTTACTAGTATTATCTCAGGGTATTTCTTGTCTATATAAAAGCGTATACGCTTTTTTTTATAGATAGAAATTTAAATTACCCTCTTATTACCCTCTTTCTTAATCACCTATTATATTTACCTATTTTTATTTTCACAATCTCTCCACCTGATCCACCCGTAGTCGTCCGACATAGCTTTTACTTGAATTATACACTCCGTAAGAAACCTGGTCATTGCTCTATACACGCCATCAAAAGTCATTATATCAATTCTAGTACAGCTTAATTAACAGTCCTATTTTACCTGATTTAATAAGGAGTAAAAAGTATTTAATTATTCTAAACTATTCGTATAACTGATTTAGTTGTGTAAGGTCTTTAGGATAATATTTTAATAACTTAGGCGTGTACAGAGTAATGTCCGCTTCTCTTCCACCTATATCCTCATCTCATGCCGTCAAATTATTTTTACGAACCCCCAAAGTATACTAAAAGAAAGCCCCTCGGATCCAATATACTCCACAATTTAATACCTCTGGACCATGAGATTTGAGTCATTTTGCAATCAATCCAAGTAGCTCAATTGGAAAATGCGCTTCCACTGGCGTACTTTGTTTAATAAAAGCTCTTAGTTTGCTTCTGTTGGAAATAGCTAACGAGATATGGGTGGAGGTGAGGTTTACAGAACTGAAATTATCGTCTTCATTTTGTTCTTCTGAGAAAAGCAGGCAATAGATTGATCGTCACTAATAGTTCTAAAAACCAAGACTTGCGGTACTGAACCAGTACCATCCTTCAGTAATGCATACATAGCACACCTGAGTTCCCCTTTGCTTCAATTTTCTATTTTTTCTACACAGTATTATGGGTTCAAAGAAATAATACACTTCAAATTTGTTGGAAACAAACACGATTTCCTTCTCTCAAAAAGGCTGCTAGTTTTTAAAAAATTTATTGGAGACTCATTGAGCAGGTACAGTGAATAAAACATTGAGTCAGTATTGACGTTTGTCTTTGTCCCTCCAAGTTGTTTTCCAGAAAAGGGAAAAGCCCGGCTAAATCCCACCCCAGAAAAAACAGGGATGCTCGCTGAATTTTCATTGGTCAACGTCATGCAATGATGCCTCATATTTCAGGCAAAAATCAAGCACTTTACGCGCTCTCACGCGTCGCCTTGAATTCAAAGGTTCCTCATCCAAAGTTCTTCAACCATACCACCTCTCAACCTCCGCAAAGCACCGCATTTCCCCTTCAATCCACATACTTCCTGAACAACAATTCAAGAGTAAGTTACTCGATTTTGGCATACCAATTCTAAAAATTCCTGCTCCCAAATATCTGATCAGCAAAAACTAACGTGTGCGATCTTCTCTACAGTGTTAGAAGCACGTCTCGAACAAGCCGACCTTTTCAAGAAGGTGGTTGATGCCATCAAGGATCTTGTCCAGGACTGCAACTTTGACTGCAATGACTCAGGCGTCGCACTTCAAGCTATGGACAACTCCCACGTCGCTCTCGTTTCCATGATGCTCAAGGCCGAAAGTTTCTCCCCATACCGCTGTGATCGAAATGTCGCCCTGGGTGTCAACCTCACCTCTCTCACCAAGGTTCTCCGTGCAGCCCAAACCGATGATATCCTTACTCTCAAGGCCGAGGACGCCCCTGATGTGTTGAACTTGGTATTTGAGAGCAGTTCGAACGATCGATTGAGCGAGTATGACTTGAAGCTTATGGACATTGATCAAGAGCATTTGGGTATCCCAGATACTGAGTATGCTGCTACGATTTCAATGCCAAGTAGCGAGTTTAGCAGAATCTGCCGGGATCTTATGGCTCTCTCCGAGTCTGGTAGGCTCCCAACCGCCAAAGCGAATCTTCAGTGCTAACATTTCGGGGTCACAGTTGCGATTGAGGCCTCAAAGGACGGTGTTAAATTCTCATGTGCTGGAGATATTGGAAACGGTTCTGTTACTCTTCGAAGCCATACCGACAATGAGAAGGAAGAGAACAGTATCGCAATCGATCTTTCTGAGCCTGTCTCTTTGACTTTCTCCCTCAAATATCTCGTCAACTTCTGCAAGGCCGCTGGGCTTTCCAAGACCGTCAAGCTTTGCCTTTCCAGCGAAGTCCCTCTGCTGGTTGAATATGCGTTGTCAGGAAACAGTTATCTTCGATTCTACTTGGCACCCAAGGTAAGTCTTGAAGGCGCCACTATTTCACTTTAATGATCGCAGGCTAATTTTTTCCCCCTTCCAGATTGGCGATGACGAGTAGATGCGAAAATAACGGAAACGGAGTATGAACAGATTGGTTTTTTAAGCATATCCCCTTGGCGTGATTGGTTCTTTTCATGGATATTGAATGAATGAGGGGAATGATGATGGCGCTTTCTTAATGTGGACCTGCTTCCGGAGCATTGGGAAGAACTACTGCCTAGCTAGGTGTGCCCATATGTAGTAGAATACGCATCTGCAATATAAGGGAATTCACGTATATTGCTCTCAACTATAAGCTCTCAGTTGTGCGATCATCATATATTTTTCGTCCCAGATTTATGGATAGGTGACAGTAGCACGGGGTACGGGCCGATTTCATTCCGATTCCGATCCTGATGACCCCGCCATGAAAGTTGACTCGCATTGATGACCCGCGTGAGATAAGACGGTGAAAGATGTTGCGTCAGTTTGTTTTTGTTTGCTTATCAACACCAATTCAGCTTGCAAGTATGCAATCATTCACGACAAATATTGATCTATATTTTTCAGCTTCATGATATATTGGCCTCGGCCTCCACCACTCACGCCCTTCTCCTGAGTAGTGAGCACCCAACCTTCTACAAAAAGACAACCTAAAATCATCCCGCCTTTCTGTGTCAACCATGGCCTCAGAGTCGGATTTCCCTATTCCAGAGACGAATGTTCTTGCAGTTGCCAGCCATGTAGGACCTTTGCATCTCTGCTCGTCTAAGGAAAATGAAACTGACATTTGCTGAAGGTTGTATACGGGTGAGTTGAATCTTGTATCCTGGATCTGGTTTAGAAACTGAGCAGAGAAGATATGTCGGAAACACGATGGCGACATTCGTTATGCAGTCCTTGGGCTGTGAGGTAGCCGCTCTGAATACAGTGCAGTTCAGTATGCCATCCCGCATCCAAACAAAGAGAAGCAATCAAGTAATAAATATATAGGCAATCATTTGGGTTATGGTCAAGCAAAAGGCACGCGCGCTACCGCCTCCGAAGTTACAGATCTCTATCAGGGCCTCCAGGACTCCTACCTCGATTCGTTCGATATGATGCTCTCAGGTTATCTCCCCGGAGCCGCCTCAGTCGAAGCCGTCGGTGCTATTGCGAGAAGTCTGAAGTTGAAAGCAGTGATGAACCCGGGTGGTTTCTTTTGGGTGCTAGATCCGGTGATGGGCGATAATGGGAAACTATATGTCGCCGAAGATGTGGTGCCTGCATATAAGAAGTTGATTATGGATGCGGATCTAATATTACCAAATCAGTTCGAGGCCGAGTAAGTTTTGGGTTCAGGGATAGGTGAGAGGAAGTGCTGACAAAAGATGATAGGACATTATCTGGTGTCAAAATCGTTGATATAGAAAGTTTGAAGCTTGCTATTACCACTTTACACGAACAATACCGAATACCTCATATTCTTATAACATCGATATCCCTCCCTACGCCTGGGGCCAGCGAGTTTCTCTCGGTTGTGGGATCCAGCGCTACCACTTCTTCCAAACCGCGAATGTTCAGCGTCAGAATCCCGGCCATCAACTGTTTCTTCTCTGGAACTGGGGATATGTTTGCTGCCTTGATGCTTGTCCGTTTACGGGAAGCCGTAAACAACGTTCCAGGCCTAAAGGATGAAGCTTCTTGGGTTTCGAATGATGAAGTGACGGCTACCGAATTGCCGTTAGCGAAGGCTTGCGAGAAGGTTTTGGCTAGTATGCATGCTGTGTTGACCAAAACAAAGGAGAGAAGAGACGAGGAATTGGAAGATTATAGGAAGAAGACGGAGACTCTAGGAACTGGCGTTGGAGATGAAGATGAAAAGAAGCTGAGATTGGCAAAGAGTAAGGCTGCAGAGGTTAGACTTGTTAGAAATGTAAGGGCTCTGAGAGACCCCATTGTGGAATTCATGGCGGAAAATGTTTAGAAATTTTTCGATTTTTATCTTGGGGCCAAGGGAGACAGGAAGTGAGCTTTTTTGAAATTTAGTTAAGTAGTGCTGCGTTCGTTCGCACATGGAGGAGTACTGTAAATAGGAGGCACTTTGTTGAGTAGAGTCAAAGAATAATACAACGATTCCGTAAAGTCATGATATTCGTGATTACCTAATTCATGAACGCATTCTTTTACGCGAAACTTTTCCTCTGCTAAAATAGCACGCCATAACTCCGGTCTGATCGTTCATCATTTGCCGAATTTTACCGCTTTTTTGAGATAATGCCGCTGTATTTCCAATTTTCGGGGTCCTGTATTGAAAAGCTTAACCAGTACTGCCAAAGCCTGCGGCTCCTCGGACGCTCTCCTCCAATTCTTGGACCTCCATGACCTCAGGTGTGTAAATTCTTTCCAGAACCAATTGGGCTACACGATCTCCCTCCTTGATCTCGAAATCTTTCTCGCCGTGGTTGAAGAGGAGGACCTTGACTTGGCCGCGGTAGTCTGCGTCGATTACGCCTGCGCCGGTGTCGATCATATATTTAGATGCCAGTCCAGAGCGGGGTGCGATTCTGCCGTCTGTTGGGACGGGATTAGTTAATTTTTTCTTGTAATCTGTGTTTCATGGGAATTGATCAAAGGTGATGGATCGTCCTGAATAATAAGGGAGAGTCGGAATAAGCAAACATACAAGTCCCCTCTGGAACCGCCATACTGATATCCGTATCCACCAGGACCTTTCCCCTCGCAGGCACGACAGTATCCTTCGCCGCATAGATATCATAACCCGCAGCGAAAGCACTTCCCCTCGTAGGCAGCCTCGCATTGTCCGACAGCTTCTTGATCAGAAGTGGTGGTGCTGCGTCGACGGAGACGACTGTGGGGGTTGGTGCACTCATTGTCGTTGGTGTGGGAGGGATTACGTTGGGTGTTTTTGGCTGGACGGAACTGTTTGGTGGTGAAGCTGGACTGGGCTTAAGTCTTTTCGGAAGCGGTGATGTTGGGGATTGGGGATTTGTAGACATTTGGGGGGTTTTTTGCGGTGTGGTTGGGAAGGTGGAATGGGATTCGCGTCTCGCGGTGGGGGGACGACGTGTTTTGGGACTTGGAAAAAAGTGGAGTGTGTGTTTAGTGGAGGGGCTCGCTTGTTGAAAGGGGGAGTGGGTACTGGTTGATCAATGATACCTTTCCTAACTTTACTGAAGTTAACACTTCGCACTATTACAATATTTGTGTTTCGAATTTGAGGTTGATGGTACGAAAGATTGGTGTAAGCCATTAAAGTACCAACCTTTAGTGCTATATGCATTAATATAATCAAGTTGATATATGCACATGGAGCTGATTCAGACGTCTTTCAGGTCTGTTACCTACTGTACACAGGCGGACTGAGTTACGACTTGAGCGATGGGAGCTATTCCACCAAAATTTCTTGACAAGTTTTTTCCTTCTCTCTCTAGCCAGGTCTCTATCAATTATTGCCGCTTTGCATTGAGTGGTAGTTTGAGATAAGAGAGGAGCAGCGAGTTGAGTTGATTTGAGTCTAAGTAAGTGATTTAGTTGAGTTGAGTCAAATGGTGGACTTGATTACTCAAGTAACCTCACTATTCGAGTACTTTACTATAAATAGTAAATAAAGCACAAAGTAATTATCTACAAAAAACCCGCTTCTTCACAAGCTTACTATTACCTTATGGGTTTTCTTTCAAGAGCCTATTCCTAGTCTCTACAATGATATCAGCCCCCTAGCTAGATAATAGCTCGCTAGGAACACTTGTCGCCGGATATCTAACTCTCATACGCTCGGTTATTTCGTCACTTATATTATATATAGGAGGGCGGGCTTAATCCGAGCAGCACTTGACCCATATTACTCCGCAATACTCAATTAGTACGCAACGCAACTCAACTCAACCCATTTCGAACGCTACTCTAAACAGTAGTCTTGCTAATCCATTCAAGGAGTTTTTGACTCGTTCGATGGGATAGGAAATACCAAACCGTTCCGCGTGCAGAAAGCACCGAAGACTGGAGAAGGCTTATGGCAAAAATCCACCAAGCTCTTGCACAGAACAAAATCCGACTTCCAAAGTATAGAGTATCAAAAAAGGTTCTGTGGAAGGAAGTATCAACTTTCAATAATACAGAGTTTCATGATCGGTCGAAATGTATGGAACGTTTCGAAATCTCTACCTGGGGAGGAATAATACTTACAACACCTACTACCTCCAGAGTTCCCATCCTTTATCCACAAGCTGGACCTGTAACTTTTCAATAGCCTGGTCTCAGACAAAGATCGTACTGTTATCGCTGATAGTCGGGGTCCAATAGGAGGTGTGATATCCTCGAGACCAGTTCCCATTTTTGGCTCCATTGTGCCCTTGCTTCAGACACTTCGTATTATTCACATCCTCATTGCGGAAAACCTGAAAGGTTTTAATTTCTTCTCACCCGTCTTGATATACCAGAGGATATTCAACTCATCCAATGTCACTCTGATGATTATAGTCCAGTGGATTGGGATACCTTGTTTACTTCTCTTACCTGGACGAACCCCCAAAAGTATGGCATCCCTCCGGTCAAATGCCTAACTGGCCGGATTACCGAGACCGAGGACCATTCACCCTAAAGCAAACGATGATGGTTAGGAAGGCCCTTGGCTGGAAGAGAGTGTCAGATGCCGTATATTTGCATTCTTTTCTCGATGACAAGATGTCTTATCTGGGCCAACAACTTAGAAGGACACTCGAATCATTCGAAAGGAGTATTAATCGACGGCGCTACGACTCTTCTTATGCACATCCTTGATAACAACCATGCGAGATGATCTTGATTCTCATAAGTCTGGAAACGTGAACAGTCTTTGACATTCATGTTTCCCAATCTCAGAGCTACGAAAAAGCAAATTTCTACCCGCCCATCGATACCCCGTGGGCCTATTTCATTCTTCTATATCTGCGGCAAAAAGCATACTCTAGCTCAAAGCATCCTGTTTACTTTTCTTTTGAGGGGAAAAGAACCAAATGAATTCCCCACCTCACTTCGTCACCATACGTCTCCCCCCATACTCGGGTACAGCTAAGACCAAGGGAGTTGAGTAGAGTGGGAGAATCTACGTATCTTATGGTGATTGAACCCCTCTCATTCGCGATCAATAGTTTTCTTCTTCTTCTTCTTCTTTTTTTTTGAAAAAAGGAGCCTAATCTCGTGCAAACTTGCCTACTTAAGTCGCTTATGAAATGCAATTTTGTTTATCACACATCCGCCAACCCACTCGACTCACCGAATGAGTCAACAAGCTCATTTTGCTTACAGTAGGTTAGGCCAATCTCAGGCAAACCCCCTCAATAAGTACCTCAACATGCGCCCCTCCTCCCTCCAACACATCCACAAACCACCCTCCCATCCAAATCCCCCCATCCCACAACTTCCACCATGGACCCCCCGCGCTCAACCTACAAACTCCAACACACCCCCACAGGACGCCCCTACATCGCGCTCCAAACCCACTCACCAACCCCCATCTTCCTAACCGAGCTGCTCCCCCGCGACGCCCACACCCTCGTCGCCACCATGTCCCTCCCAGCCGTGAACAACGCCCTCCTCTCGCCGCCAAAGGACTACACGCTTGCCTCGGCCGAGTGGTGGATCGCGCATCAGCGGTCGGGGAAGGCGGATTTGCCGCTGGCGACTTTGCGGGCGGGGGATGCGGAGAGTGGGGGGTTGATTGGGGGGGTGAGTTTGGGGCCTGGACCTAGGATTGGGGTGAAGGGTTCTTCGGCTTTGGGAGAAGCTGGTGGGGATGGAGGGAATGGTATTGATGTGGAATTGGGATATTATCTTCATCCGGATTGGCAGGGGAAAGGGATTATCAAACCGGCAGCGCGTGCGCTGATTGAGTGGGGGAGGGCGGAGAAGGGGGTCAACAGGGTGCGGGTTAAGGTTGTGGAGGAGAATATGAAGAGTCGGGCGAATATTGAGAGTTTTGGCGAGTTTGTGAGGGTGAATGGGGAGGAGGAGTACTTGGAGTGGCCGCTTGAGAAGGGAGGGGGGAGGAAGAAGCTGCTGGTTTTTGAGTGGAGGATTTGAGTGGAGGATTTGAGGGGAGGATTTGAGTGGAGGATTTGAGTGGAGGATTTGAGAGGAGGATTTGAGGGGAGGATTTGAGGGGAGGATTTGAGGGGAGGATTTGAGGGGAGGATTTGAGGGGAGGATTTGAGGGGAGGATTTGAGTGGAGGATTTGAGGGGATGGATGTGATGGAGTGAGGGGATGGATGTGATGGAGTGAGTGTGTGTGTGAGAGAGAGAAGGAGAGAGGGAAATGAGAAGAGTCTGTGTTTGAGTAGGATTGTGGTTTTTTGGTGCTGTGAGTACGAGTAGCTAGCTACAGTATCAGGGGCCTCTCGCTAAACTCTCCTTCCCAAGTTCCCTATACAAAACCACCTCGACACTCGACTAAGAAAATATCCACCACATCTACGAACAAGACATCTAGTAAAGAGACAACGTAATAGTCCCGAAATCAACGACGCCTCTTGATCTTTTTTTTAAAGAAAAAAAAGAAAATTAATAACTCTCTTTCATCTTTCTTTACTTGTATATAATTCTATAACAGGGGTTTAAATACGGTAAAAGAAGAGAGATATATATTATAGACAAGGCTGTAGGAATTCACCCGTTTATCCAGCCAAACGAAACTAGCAGTGGTACAGTACCCCTAACTCTACTGTGGGCTTGAGATATAGTAGAAGTATCTTACTCGCTAAACCTAACCCTAACCCAAACCCAAATCCACACATCGCTTCCGTGCCTCGTGAGCGCGATTGAAAACGAAGGGGGAGGAAAACATGTACATCTCCCAATAAAAGGGAAAGGGAAGGGGGTCATCATCAATGAAACACCAAAAAAAAAAGAAGACTCGATATAATTGAAAATTTGTTTCATCTCTTACTTGCTATTGCTATCCCCTCCCCCCTCCCCCCTTCC